CTCTTGCCAGTGACATTGGGGAAGTGTTATGATTGACCCCAATCTTGTTCCTGTAAGTGAGTAACATCAAGATGTTTATCAATGATGAAATATGTTTTAATAATAACAAATAAAGGTATCGTACTTTTGAAGAAATGAATGCTTAACTATCTATATTATAGAACAAAAGCTATTACATCTCATAAGAAAAGCTTTCTCCACAACCTTAACCAGAGAGATTGGGTTGAATATACCGAGGCGTGGACACAGATTGTCACTCTAATCCTTTAATTTTATGCTATGAAAAAGCTCATAATCACAGAACACCAAGTAACAGTCCAACAGGTTCTTTTGAAAACACAAGCCTTCAGAGTCTCAGTCCTTCTGCAGGTGTTAGTGAGAGAGATAGTATCAGACACAGAATTTATAAGTAAAAGATCAAAGGTTCACATCATCGATGAGGATGTACTAAACAAACCTAAGATGCTGCTAAATCTTTAATCAGTTAGAAGGTTTTAATTGATTACTATGTATATGTAAATCCCCGAATCCCTTTCAAGTCACTGTCCTGAGAGAAGTAAAGGTCAGACAATGCATGTTCGGTGTGATACCTTGTTTAGAGTCTGTTTGTGTTTTGGTTTGGAGTCAGACTGGTTTTATTTCTAAATTGGAATTTATAAAACACCATATTAACTGACTCTGTATAAATTTTGTGCTTTTTAAACAGAACAAAATATATCTGCAAATATAAATTCACCCCTCATAGATTCGCGCACACACATGTGTGTGTCTGTGACTGTGTGTGTGTGTGTGTGTGTGTGTGTGTGTGTGTGTGTGTGTGTGAGAGGGAGAGAGAGAGTGGGAGAGAGACAATGTGCGTGTGTGTGAGGTGGGGTAGAGAGTGTGTATGAGATACAGCAGTACAGTAGTGAGACACTGCCAAGTAGATGAGGCAACGGAACTACACCACCTACATGCACAGCAAGAACAAGAAACTGGAGAAACTTGACATCACCACCAGCAATAATCAAGTCTCCCTGGTACCGCAGTTGAAGGTGGTACCACCACAGGGAAAATCCATCATCAACTTATCCGACCACACCCTTCAACTGGATGAGATCGAAGTTCTCAGCCGAGGACTCAATTTCTGCCCCACCACCAAAATGGACCCCATTGGTTTCGGGGCAAACACAGAGGAATTCATCGGACGAATGAGACTCTGGGAATTCTTCTAAAATGTCAGCAGCGAACCCAATGAGACAACTAATGAACCAGATCAGTTGACAGAGAGATCTGTAGGGGAGCGGGCAAAGAAGAAGTCAAATTGGACCCCTCTGGAGGGCCGCTGAAGCCATCAGAGAATGCGTGAATGCCAGATTTATCAGCCGCACTCACAATGCAGTACAAAACGGCGCCCAGGCATAACGCAACACCATCCATGCTCTCAAGGCCAATCGCAACATTGTCATCGAACCAGCAGACAAAGGAGGAGCCATCATTTTACAGAATAGAACAGACTACTGCAAGGAAGTATACCAACAGCTGAACAACCAGGAACACTTCAGACAACTACCTGCTGATCTGACCAAAGAACACACCAGTCAACTGAACAGACTGGCCAAGACTTTTGATCCAGATCTTCAAAGCCAACACACCTGGACATCCCATCGTATCAGGTAATGGGACCCTGTGTGAGAACCTCTCTGGCTATGTTGACGGCATCTTGAAACCCATTGTACAGAGATCCCCCAGTTTCTGCCCCGACACTACAGATTTCTTACAGAAACTCAGCACCCACGGACCAGTTGAACCAGGAATACGCCTCATCATAATGGATGTTTCGGCACTTTACACCAGCATCCCCCACGACGATGGCATCGCTGCAAAAGCCTGAGTAATCAATACCACCAACTGCCAATTTCCAGATTCCATCCTACAACTTACTTGTTTCATCCTCGACCATAAGGTCTTCAGCTTCGACAACCCGTTCTTCATCCAGACACACTGAACAGCCATGGGGACCAGATTTGCTCCTCAGGATGACAACATTTTTATGCACAAGTTCAAACAAGACTCAGAACCTCCGACCAATGTTATACACCAGATACATTGATGACATTTTCTTCCTTTGGACTCACAGTGAGGAATCACTGAAACAACTACATAGTGATATCAACAAGTTTCATCCCACCATCAGACTTACCATGGACTGCTCTTTAGAATCAGTCTCATTCTTGGACACACACATCTCCAAAAAGGACAATCACCTCAGTGCCTCATTCTACCACAGAGCTACGGATAACCTCACAATGCTACATTTCACTAGCTTCCACCTGAAACATATTAAAGCAGCCATCCCCTATGGACAAGCCCTACAGATACACAGAATCTGTTTGGATACCTGAAGGTGTTGAAGGATGCCCTCATAGGAACAGGATATGATGCTCAACTCATCGATCGCCAGTTCCAATGTACCACAGCGATAAACTCTAATCACCTCCCCAGAAGACAGGCACAGAATACGTCTGATAGGGTGCCCTTCGTCATCCATTGCTTCCTGGGAGCAGAGAAACTAGGCCATGTTTTTCACAGCCTTCAACACATTATTGATGACGATTAGCACCTTGGCAAGATCTTCCCTGTGCCTCCACTTCTCGCCTTCAAACAACCGCCAAACCTCAAACAGACCATTGTTCGCGCCAAACTACCCAGCCTTCAGGGCAACAGTGACCACAACACTATACAACTCTGTCATGGTAATCTCTGCAAGACATGTCAGATCTTCAACATGGACACTACCATCACACATGGGAGCACCACCCACCACATGCTCGGCAGATACTCATGTGACTCGGCCAATGTTGTCTATCTCATTCGCTGCAGGCAAAGATGCCCTGAGGCATGGTACATTGGTGAAACCATGCAGAAGCTACGACAATGGATGAATGGATGCCGCGCAACAATCGCCAAACAGAGGTGCTCCCTCCCAGTGGAGCAACACGTCAGCAGTCAAGGGCATTCGTCCTCGGATCTTCGGGCAAATATCCTCCAAGGCGGACTTCGGGATACACAACAATGCAGAAGCGCTGAGCAGAGGCTGATAGCCAAGTTTGGTCCCCATGAGGACGGCCGCAACCGGGATTATGAGCTCATGTCACACTACAGGTGACCCCACTACACTATACACTCTCACCCATGCATACACACACAAACACACACACACGCACACACACACGCACACACGCACACACACACACACACACACGCTCTAGTCTATGGGGTGAATTTATGTTTGCAAGATATATTTTATTTTGTTCAAAAAGCACACAATTTATAGACAGTCAGTCAACATGATGTTTTATAAATTCCTATTTTAGAAATAAAACCAGTCTGACTCCAAACTAAAACACAAACAGATTCTAAACAAGGTCTCACACCTAACATATCATCTCTTCCTTACATTGATAAAACGTTTAGTTCTCTTGGAACCGTGACTTGAAAGGAATTCGGGGATTTACAAATATATATTAATCAATTAAAACCTTCTAACCAATTAAAGATTTAACAGCATCGTAGGTTTGTTGTTTAGTACATCCTCATCAATGGAGTGACCCCTTGATCTTTTACTTATAAATTCTGTGTCTGATACTACCTCTCTCATTAATACTTGGTGAAGGATTGAGGTTCCGAAAGCTTGTGTTTTCAAAAGAACCTGTTGGACTATAACCCTGGTGTCATGTGATTTCTGACCTTGTCCACCCCAGTCCAACACCGACACCTCCACATCATGAAAACGCTCCACAGTCCTGACAGGAGACGGCATTTCCTAAAGAGCTCGGATCAGAAAGCCATACTTTCATCCTGACAATCTCCTCTCAGTGCAGTATTTTCCCGGGGAGGCAAACCATATCCGCTTTTCCGCTGCGATCAGCTGTCATACACTGACATGTAAAGGTCCAGAACAGCAGACAGCTGTTGTCTAAAGATAAATATGTAAGTTAAGTATGAGGTTAGGTGACAGGTGGGTACAGTGATCAGTGGGTAGGGGCCATAGGGTGCCAGGTGAGCAGAGTGCCAAGTGCGGAATAGGTAGGGTACCAGTGTGCAAGATGACAAGGAAGCCAGGTAAGTGATGAAGTTTTTAAGTGTCTTGAAGTGATTGTGTCCAGTGGAATGGCAGGGGAAGGGGATGGTATTGGGTTGTGTTGGTGACAGGGGAGTGGCAGGGTGAGGAAGGAGTGGGTGGAGAGAGTGATGATTCTCTCTTGTGATGGGACAGAACTGGTGGTTCTAATACTGGGGGAAGGGGGGGGGGGGAATGGGGGGAGGTCTTAGCCCACAGCGGGGTGAGGGATCTCAGGAATGGAAGAAGTGGGTTCAGGTCCAGAGTGAGGGATTTAGAGAATTGTGAGTGGTGGGAAGAAGATGTTCAGGTGTAGGAAGGGGGGTGTGTAGAGCAGGGATCATCTGGTCCGGAGCAGGAGAAGTGCACTTGGATCTGGAGAGGTGGGGAAGGAATGGTTTGGGCCTGAAATGGGGAAGGGGTCATTGGTCAGAAGTGGCAAAAATGGGGTGGGTTAGGGGGAGGTGGTTGTCAGCTCATGGACACAGGGGAGGGGGTGGATATCAGGTTCGGTGGCAGAGGGTGTTTTGTCCTGAGGTTAGAGAGGGATGGTTTTGGGACTGGTAGAGGGGGTTTCGGGCATGACGGGTTTGAGAGAGGTGCAGTTGGTGCTGTGAGGGAAATATGGAGTCATTTGAATAGCTACTCAGGAATTAGACTAGGTTCTTAATTGTCTCATCTTTCCTGAGTAACTATTTACTTAACTGCAGTTGCCCCCTCAGGACCCCCATTTAAACGGATACTTTCAGAAGGTTCCAGTTTCAGGGTAATTCCCGTAAAATCTGCAACTTTGGGAATATGTGGGCCTGATGAACTGGCCATCAGATGATCTGGTGTCTTCTAGCATGCTCATTGTCAGATCACAACATTTTCTCAATCTAAAATCAATGCAACTTACAGGGGGGTCCTTGTCCTCTGCTGATACAGCAGTGATGAAGCTGCCTTTGAGGGCATCTGGTGCCACCAGCCCTTTGTAGGAATGCTCGATAAATTCAGGAGAGTAATCATTCATGTCCTGTAAAAAGAGTTACTTGTTACATATTATGTAGACTTACTGAAATGAATCAACGCTTTGAATGTATAATTGATATGATTACAAAAGAACCTTAATTATTTTGGAACACAGCAGGCCAGGCAGCATCAGAGGAGCAGGAAAGCTGACGTTTCAGTCAGGAAGAAAGGTGCCGACCCGAAACACCAGCTTTCCTGCTCCTCTGATGCTGCCTGGCCTACTGTGTTCATCCAGCTCCACACTGTGTTATCTCTGACTCCAGCATCGGCAGTCCTTACTATCTCTTAATTATTTTGGTTCTGTTTGGTTGAAAATTATTTTCAAGGGTGTTTTGTTCAGTTGATCAGTGGAAACACTGCTGAAGTTTGATCCGCTAAATATTTGTGTCTTACTTCACATTCAATAGGCTATTTGTTTAACAATAAAACAATGAGTAGACAGCAATGTACAAATGTTTGGCTGACTCAGCAAGTGCAAACCACTGAGATAATTCATCAGTGTGTCAGGTAAGGAAAATCTGTAAGAATATCTGATCATTGGTACAAAAGGTTAATAAACCTCGACAGAAAATCTAGTAAAACAATTATGATATTGCAATGTTCAGTTAGTGCTGATGCGGACAAAGATCAATATTGATTTCTGTCACAGCATGGGTGCCACCATCTATCAGAAATGTAATTATACCAGGCAAATAAATACTGTAATTTCAAGAGACAGGTCAGAGGCTGGAAATTCTCTGGATATTCCAGTAATCCACCTTCTGATTCCCCAAAGTCTCCTGTTGTTTGGCACGAGTCAGGACTGTGCCTGGATACTTGCCTGCATGAGATTTGTCAAGAGTTTCAACAATATTCAGGCAAATCTGCTCATATGATTAGCATCCCATCGTGGCAGCAATGTGCAGCATCAACAAGATGCTCTGCAGCAACTCACCAAGGGATTTACATCAACATTTTCTCAACCAAAGATCTCAACTACTAAAAACAAGGACAGCACAACATGGAAGTATCACCACTTGCAAGGTTCCCCTCAAAGTCTGGCCAGCTGCCAACTCTCCCAGCTAAAAACATTTGGGGTTAGTTATAGGACCCAAGGTAATAAAGGACAGTTATTGAGATGTCTCTAGTAGTTAAAGCATGTATTATTCAATTAAGTACTTAATACATTAATTGTGTTTATAGAGCTCTAAGTGTCTCCACTGTAACTTCATCTATGTATGTACTGTTGTCTCTCAGAGACGGACAACTAGAGTCATAGAGTCACACAGCATGGAAACAGGCCCTTTGGTCCAACTTATCCATGACAACCAAGTTTCCCAAACTAAACCAGTCTCACTTGCCTGTGTTTCGCCCATATCCCTCTAAACCTTTCTTATTCATGCACCTATCAAAATGTCTTTTAAATGTTGTAACTGTATCTGCATCTACTACTTCCTCTGGCAGTTCATTCCACATACGAACAACCCTCTGTATGAAAAAGTTGCCCTCAAGTCCCTTTAAAATTTTCACCTCTCACCTTAAAAATTTGCCCCGTAGTTTTAAAATCCCCCACACTAGGAAAAAGACCTTTGCTATTCACCTTATCTATGTACCCGCCATGGTTTTATAAACCTCTGCAAGATCATCCCTCAGCCTCCTACGCTCCACTGAAAAAAGTTCCAGCTTATCCTTATAACTCAAACTCTCCAATCCTGGCAACATCCTGGTAAATCTTTTCTGAACCCTCTCCAATTTAGTTATATACTTCCTAAATCAGGGCAACCAGAACTGTACACAGTATGCCAAAAGTGGCCTCATCAACATCCTGTACAACCTCAACATGAAGTCCCAACTCCACACTCAATGGTCTGAGCAATGAAGACAAGCATGATAAACATCTTCTTAACCATCCTGTCTACCTGTGATGCAACTTTCAAAGAATTACGTACCTGAACCCCTCGGTCTCTCTGTTCACAAGACTATACACACCTGAAACCAAATGGTTCAATCATGTCCGGCTTTTGCCCATGAAAAGCAACTTCAGCTTTGCACTGTACTACTGTAAGGCAATGATGGGTTGAATGGCCTCCCACTGCACTGTAGCTATTCAATGATGGTCTGGTTTAAGATCAGAGGATGAGTGAACAGGAACATGCTGTGATCTGCAGCCACACTTGTAAGCAAATGATTGTCCAACAGCAAAATGTTTTCGATGCAATGAAGCTGCTTCTTCTTTAATGAATGCCCAAACCAGTTCATCCATGCTTCCTTCCCCCTCACCCCACCTGTCCAACTAAAGAATGAACAAGGCTCAACAATCATTACTGTGTGGTAATGGCTATAGTGCCAATTCAGGACCCAACCCAGAATGAGTGGAGACCATTTCATTTTTACTAACACTGAGGCACCTCACTTCTCTATACTAAGAGAGCAACCAGAGAAGACAAAGGTCACATTCTTGAAGGCATCTGGACATGGGAAAGCAGTGGAGTCAATATCTAGAGCTCCCGAGAATTTAACACTTTGGAGGTTAAAATGACACCAGTAAAGAGAATATGGTACTGTGACAATTGTGACGTTCCTAACATATGAGGAGAGTAACACAACATAGCCTTGCAAAATGGAGAGAAACATGGCAGGTGAAATTTAATGCAGAGAAGTGTGAAACAATGTGAAGAATGAAAAAAGGCAACTTGAACTAAATTGTATAATTTTGAGAGATGCAGGAGCACGGAGGTCAAGGTGTGTGTCTACAAAAATCTTTGAAAGTGGTGGTGGATGTGGTGGTCAAGTTGAAAAACCTATTTGTACGTTGGAAAATTGACCATTGACATGTTTTCCAGGTTACTTTTTCTTAATTCCTTCATAGGACGTGGAAGCTGCTGGCAAACCATTTATTACCCATCCCAAACTGCCCTACAGAAGGTGGCAGTGAACTAACCACTTGACCATATTGCAGTCCATGTGGTGTGATGCCATTAGGAGAGGAGTTCCTTTGCTGTATTAACCCACCCTGTACTTATAGAAAGCTCAGGGACTAAAATAAAGTCACAGATTACAAATTTCAAATCATTTCCTTTATTTAGATTGATATCAGCCTTGCCTTATAGGGAGGATGAGTTCCAGATCATTTGCATCAAAGACTACCAGACAGCCATTACCATTATATACAGTTCAGTAATATAAATCCAACATCAGCAACTGCATCAAACAGCTTGGGGAAGACCAGCGATCAGAAATCAGTTTCAAATTTTGGAATGGAAACAATTCAAACTGATCTTGCTCGACTTGAGCAAGGTGGAAACATTTGGAAATGTTCTAATGTTTGAAGCAGCACAGCTGTAGCACGTGACATGAGATGGGGCATGAAAAATAAAAGTCAAGACATTCAGGCTCATGGGAGGACTGGGTAGTTGGACACAGACAGCCAACCTCTGACATTCAATGGCTTCACCATCACTGTATCTAACCATCGCCTCTTGACATTCAATGGCATTACCATTACTGACTCTAACCATTGACCCTTGATATTCAATGGTGTTACCATCACTGAATTTAACCATCGCCCTAACTGACAGCGTGGTTAAACACAACCCAGACTCCTGCGATGAAAGTCTCTCCTTCCTGGTACATGAAAAGAATTTGGGAGATCTACACCCAGTATCTGGTGAGCTTATTTGCAAAGATGCATCTGATTGCCAGTTTAATGTTCAATCTAACTCGGGGAGCTTATGGTTGCTGTGAAACTAGAATAAAATGGTGCAGCAGCAGCATTTTTCTGAGATTATTGTCAAGTGGAGGAAAAGCTACTTGACAACTAATCTTGCTGATGATGGTGCCAGCATCAAGACCTACGTGTCTGACCTTCTTCAGTATGGGCACCTTTAACTTAATGAGCACAAAACATACAATACAAAAGGAAATGTATCCTGTGCCTGTTAATTTAGTTGGTATAATTAAGAATCCAACATATCTTCTTGATACAACTTTGTATCACAATTAAGGGTGTAATCACAGTGCCACTTTTGCATCACAATTAATTATGTTTGCAACAATACAGAAATGAAATGTAAGTTTTCAACTAAGGGTCCCAGCGCATAGTGTCAGCTACCATATAATTCAGCTTGTCACAAAAGTGTAGTCTCAGCAGGCAGGACTGCAAATGTGCTGAATCGGAAAGATCATATTCTAACTCCGGGGTCACACTGTTGAGACTGTTACTGTATTTATTTATTTTTCTCATTTTTTGGTTTTCTCATTTGTGATTTTATAATTGAACTTTGAACTTTGAGCAGCAGCATGCTTTGGAAAGGAGGACAGACAAACTGAAGAAGACATTTTCTGAAGGAAACTGAAGACATTTTCTGAAGAAGGGTCTAGGCCCGAAACATCGGCCTTCCTGCTCCTCTGATGCTGCTTGGCCTGCTGTGTTCATCCAGCTCTACACACCTTGTTATCTCAGATTCTCCAGCATCTGCAGTTCCTACTATCTCTGAGACAAACTGATGTTTATTGATGGGAACTGGCCTGGAAAGATAATTGCAGGTTGATTACTGCTCTAGGGAACACTGCAAATGTTTCAGCATAGACATTCTACGCTCAGTGATGACAACTGGTTGGATGCTAAATTAGCCAATTAAGGGTGGATCGGTGCTTACCGGTGAATCACGAAGAATCTTGGTAAAAGAGAGTAACAAGAGTAAACCAGTTCTGTCTGGGGTTTTGAAGCTGAGCGTGCACTTGAAAAAGCTTCAGGATAGTACTGCTATGATTTTTTTCCTTCTCTTTGGTTTTCACTGCAGTTGTTGGCTTGTTGGTTGTTCAGATAAGAAAATACCCCTCTGTAAGAAGTGGGCAAATAATCCTGGAATGCTACTGGACCTGTCTGCATGAATTGGTGATTTTGGAATGCAAACAAGATCTACAGTTTACTAATCTGTGAAGAACTCCATCAACCAAGGATTTCTGAAGGCCTGGTACCCTTCACGAAACTGTTCAACCGGCAAATTACAATTTTTTTTTGCT